GGATGTGACCACCAAGAAGTACACAAGCTGCGATGAGCAGCGAGGCCTGCAATTAGCACGGCAGCAATCCCGACTGCAGCACGGAACCCGCTTCACCAACTCTGCAAAATGAGAATGACTCTTTCGCTAGAGCGCTGTGACGCCCAACGCGACTTCCTGATCGGAGTGGGATGGGGGCCCGTGAGAAAAAGGGGGTGTGCCAAGGATTTTAGGAAAGTGGGGGTGGAGTCCCAGGTCGGAACTGAGATCTCCTGTGGCAAGTTTTAGGGACAATGGTGCAAAATGGTGCGCACAGGTCATATCTGGCGTTTCAGCCTTCGGGAGGGGCTAGGGCCTCTGCCAGTGGCGTCGCCACGGTCCGTCCCTTGTGTGGTGAATCGATGGGACACCGTGGCGGTCGTGCTGCTGTCGGCGCCGCTCGTAACAAGCTTCGGAATCCGACAGGGCGGGCCTCATGCGGAGGCTGCGCAATCGCTGCTCAGCTTCGGTTCGAGTTCGGCGGATAAATCCCGAAGCTTGGCGTGTCTGGTAGTGAGCTATGGAATTCCATGGTACCACTGTGAGCTGGTGATATGGAAGGAGGAGGTGAAAGGGACGGAAACTGGTAGTAATAACGACGAAGCCCGGGGATATATAGTATCGAGTATTGTCCGTATCTGGGTAGTCTGGGCCCCTAGGGTCACGGGTTATAACCCAGTGGAAATCCCCAGCGCATAGTAGTCGGTCGTTCTCTGTCAGATAGGGGAATTCCGGGTTTTTCAAGTTTCCCCGTCGTCTGAGTTGTTCGCCTTCCCAGTACTCGCGATACTCTGAATCCCTCAGGCTTTCACGATCGGTGATCCAAAAGGGACTTTCTTGGGCCATATCCAGCTAATGAATTTGACTCCCTGCATCCTTCTGATAAATTCGAGATCGGCTCATGCAGACGCGCGCGTACACCGCGACTCGGTTTTTCGAGATCGCGGTCGTATGTGAGCGTGCGCACGAGCGGCAGTGAATCAGGATCGGGTTTCCAGTGTCACGATAACGATTGTATCCTACATACAACTATCCTACTCATGCTAAGTAGGGTGAGATCCAGATGTTTCATTCATATCCATACCATTCACGTGACAAAAGGAGAGAAAAAGGGAAAAGGACAATCAACATCTCACAGCGTTTTTGGTGGTCTTATGACGATCAAGGACTAATAATAAAAACCCAAACATCCGTAGCGGGTGCTTTCAATCAGATGCAGATGGATGAGAGAAGTTAGACAAGCATCGCAAAACAAGATCGGAAATCCGAAAAGATCACTAATGAAGAAGAGTTCACACCCATTCATGCATACATACGAGGCAAGAGTGACAAAGAAAATTTGAGACGATTTACAAGGAAAGGTCAAAAAAGGCCACGACAAAAATCAGCCATAGCAGAAGCCAAACTTATACAGACGAGCAAAAGAAAGAACCTCATCCTGTACCCACAACTGCTCTCTCTATCTATCTATCTATCTATCTATCTATCTATCTATCTATCTATCTATCTATCTATCTATCTATCTATCTATCTATCTCTTCTCTCTCTCTCTCTCTCTCTCTCTCTCTCTCTCTCTCTCTCTCTCTCTCTCTCTCTCTCTCTCTCTCTCTCTTCACACCCTCCACTGCGGGCAGTCCGTCGCCTCGCATCAACACAGAGTTGTCACCCCGCTTAGTTCAAGAATGCAAGCCAGGTTCGCCCGTGCGCCACAGTCCGTCGTGGCCCTGCACGTCAACCCCGCAAACCCGACACCAGCTCGTCGGATCGCCCAACTCTCGCACTCACTCACCTTTCAAACTCGCTCGTTAGCCGACCCTCACTGATCGCGCTAACCTCAAAATTCTTAGAGAGCAAACTAATCGCGTTTGTGAAATTTATAGTGTGCATGCCTATGCGAAAGGTAGGGGATTAAGCCCAAGTGGACAAGAGGAGAGGAGAGGAAGTGCCTATGTCTGCATGGCCAAGCCACGGCGTGGGGGTCGCAGCCACACTCCACACATCGATCCGGTCATGCAGCCGCTCCGACCAGTTAGAACAAAGTATGTAAGGCGAGGAAGAAGGAGAAGGCGGGCAAACACGAGGAAACCAAGAAGGAAGAAGAATACAGTTACAATCGCCCCCGCCAAAACTACAGTTACACAAGATTAAGGGCGCAACCCAGTCAGAGTCCAGCTCCCAGCGCGGCAAGATGCGCGCAAGCGTGGCGCAACAAAATTCAGAGTACCTAAATTCCTAGCCTAAGTCCTAATTGCAAAAAGAAATTCCAAAAAAGTCGAAGAGAAAAACAATTTCGCGGGGCTCGACATCAGTTGAAAATTCAAAAACGATATTCCTGCGCGATGATCGCGCCAAAATTCCCAGCGTTCCCACAGAACAAGAAAGAAGCTATGGTACAGTTATTTCTCGCGCTCGCCAAGGCGCGGCTACCCAATTGTTGGCACGAGATTTTCCGCACACCGATCCGACAACTCCTAGCTGAAACCGAAAAGAAACGAGGACGTCCATGCAATTTGCCGCCCGACCCATCTTCCCGCAACTCACCCATCCGACCCGTTTTATTTTCCCAAGCAGCTTGGCGCAGGAAGTCGCGCGATTTCAAAAAATAGTTCGTCACATATGTGACGCCTAGGGGGTTCCAATCTTGTGCAAGCTCCTACTTGCACCCATATCTCTTCGAGGTGCACGCGTCATTACCATAGGATAGGAGTGTGGAAGTCATCCTGTTGAAACGTCACGATCCTTGCACCCATCTTTAGTGTCCCGAGGGAGGTGGGTAAGGGAGTCGAAATACAGAGGCGGGCGGTGGGGGATGTTCTCTGGGGAGTGTGGGCAAGAAGCTCGCCATTTCTGCTACCATCCCGGGTAGTTCAAGATACCTGACGGTGCGGTGTATGCGCGGGAAATGGTGGCTGCCATAGGGAAGAGAAGCAAGGTAGTCGGGATAGAGAGTGGAAAAGGTGAGAAGTAAGGCCACGCGAATTGCTCGTGATCTGCGCACACATGAACAATTCTTATGATAGTGCAGTAGACTTCAATTACATTGTGATCCCGCCACGCGGCGCTAAAAAGAAGGAAGTGCAGGCAAAAGGAGGGGAAGACACACTGAGTAGTGGGATGCAGGTACATTGTGGCGGCGAGGCGGATAGTGTAGAATTGGTAGAAGAGGGAAGAGGGGAAGGGATTTTGGGGAAATGCGAGCGGGGTATCGATTTGCCAAAGTGTAAGGTAATCAAGGGGACAACGGGATGATAACCGGGGACGAAGCTCGATGCCCCGCATTGGCACGTGCTCGAACTGAGGGACGGGGGGAAGGGGAGGGCGAGCGACTCCGTTGCCTCTGCGTTGGCGCGCTCGAAGTCTCTGCAGCGCGGCGCTCATCTTCCTCTGTCGGCGGCTCCGGGTCTCGGGTCGGATCATCCAGAACTGGCAATTCAGTTCCCACCGATTGCTCTAGTGGCTGCTTTCCTTTCACTATTTCTGCCCTCCGCCGTTCTGCTTCCGCAGGGTCCTCTCCCTTTGTCCCCGCCTGCTCTGTCTCTTCCTCCTCACTTGCTTGCTCTTCCTCTTCTTCTTCTTCGCTTGTTGCCCCCGACTCATGCTCGCTATGCTCGCTATGCTCGCTATGCTCGCTATAATACGCCCCCTCTTCAGAGGTATCTTCTGATCCGTCTCCCTCTTCTTCTTCTTCTTCTTCTTCTTCTTCTTCTTCTTCTTCTTCTTCTTCTTCTTCTTCTTCTTCTTCGTCTTCTTCTTCTTCTTCTAACGTCGGCTCACCTCGATCCAAGAAGAGAAGATCGATTATCTCTGCGGGGCTTAGGTAGTTACCGTACGACGGGTAACTACGGCTGTCCCAATCACCCTCCAAGCACGCCAACCATTGAAGATACGGCATCAGGCTGCGCAAAAGAATATGCGGCGCCGGATTCTCGTCGAAGTGCGAGACGACGTCGATCGGTAGATCATCCAGCAGCTGCGTCAGGAGGATTAGAAGCTCCCCCACGATCTGTTGTCGATGTCCTGCTTCCACCGATCCGAAGACGAATCCCAACAAATCTCCTTCTACCCCCGTTCTCCAAGCTTGAATAATAAGTAACTCTATGTCTTCGTTCACGGCGGGGTGCTCGCTGTCCCTGGTCCACTTCAGTCTGATCTTGACTAAACACAAGGACAGAGTCGCATAAGTTTGCCACCACCGTTGCCACTGTTCGGGCTTAATGAGACGAACCGTCAGCAGCCGCACGCAGAAAGAGAGAAGAGGATGGAGCGCTGACTGCCAAAAGACAGGGAAGACAGAGGGGAGGCTGATGGTGGAGAACCTGTAACGGTTCATTGAGGACGCGAGAAAAAAGCGGTGAGCGCAGGGAGAGGTATCGCGGGATTCTGTCGGAGAGCGCAGATGCCGTTCAGGTCAATACTATTGTTATTGGCGACGTTTTCCCCCCGCCCCGCAAGCAGCGGACTCCAGGAACTCGCCAACTCTTCCCCCAAATCTCGCAGCGAGACGAGGATGCTCGGATGCGCCCCTGGATCCACCGTAGTGATGTCTCCGCTAAAGGAGACAATAGTCGAGATGTGGCTGGTCCCGGGCGCCGAGAGTCGTAGAAAGGCCGATGCTTCGGCCAATACTTGCACCTTGCAGTTGGGTATTACGAATCGGAACTCTGTTGCTGCATGCACGCTCGTCGTGCTAAAAAACTTAGCAAATCGGATGACGTCCGGGCTGATACGCGGATGATGAACCTGTCTGATCACCAAGATGTGTCTCCGTGGCGCTAGCATCCGCTCATTGAGTACCTGTTCCGTGGAAAAACTCATGGCGAAGAGGAGGGAGAAGATGAATGGGGAGAAGAATGAGAATGGGGAGCGTCACTTTCCCACTCAGACTCAGATTCCGAGGGCGATCCAGTTCGAGAGGGAGTCCCGGAAGCAGAGAGATGGCAAAGATAGGACACGTCGCGGACTCTGGGTCTACCTGACCGACTGCCTGCCACTTTAGGAGCGAGGCGCACGGTGTTCACTCCGTTAGGTCCGAGCTCGATCACTCGAAAGCACCTGAAGAATCGTGGCTCTAGTTTCCCTTGACGAGCACATTTCCTTACCTGCACCAAGTCCCCCAATTTATACTGGGGCCGGGGACCTGCATTTCAGCCTCGTAACTGCGGACCTGGCGGTCGTGGGCCAATTCAGTCATTCTCTACCTCTTTCGGGCCAATCTCGGAAGGATCCGCTCCATAAGCTTCAAATGTCGCTTTGCCTTTTCCTTGGTCGTTGCTCTTGTGGGACGTCGGTCGAGTGTCGTTTCATCATTCAGGTTCGGTACCGAGACGCAAGCTAGGTTGTTGGTTCGTAAGTGAAATAGTGAAAGTCTCGTAGATTCATGTGGGGTCCCTCGGTGTACAGCCAAGATATGATCCACAATGTCAGGCCACGACCGCGTGTCCCTAGCCGCAATATTCCGTCGGAGTGTCGTTTTGATGACCCGGTTGGAGTGTCGTTTTGATGACCCGGTTGGCGTTTTGTATGAGACCGTTCGATTGGGACATATGGGGAGCAGTATTACGAATAGACACTCCATGTATGACTAAATTCCTCATAACTTCCCCTCGGAACTCAGTTCCATTGTTCGTAAGTATTTCCTCGGTATCCTGATGCATCCCGAGGAAACGGTTGACATACCATGCTATTTCCGCCGTCTGTCTAGTCTGACATGGGTAGGCCTGAATCCATTTTGAAAAGTGGTCAACAAACACCAAGAGGATTGAATATTCACAGCTATTCGGCCCAGGGGGCACGACGATATCCGTCGCATCCATGCTAACCTTCTGAAATGGCCGTTGGACTTCAGTGGGCACTATCGATCTAGGCGGCTGAATCGGGGCCTTGTCAGCGGCGCAGACTTGACAATTTCGGACGACGAATTTAACATCGTCGCGAATATTGGACCAATACCATTCGTTCTTGTCAATTGCCGCCTGTATAATCCGTACGGCAAAGTGAGTTGCAATCTCTTTGTGTGCCAACTTAACCCAGTCATACCTTACGAATGGATGGGGCACGGCCATCCAAATCCCACTACCATCGGTCTTTCGTTTTTCCAACCGTTCATCGTTCCATCGATAGTCCCGTGCCCTCTCATTAGCCCTTCTACGGTCCTCCCTGGTGAAGTCTCGGAGGGGGTTCTCGACCACTGTGGCTATTAAGACGACATATGTTCATACCTCGGCCCTTCTAAACCTACGGGTATTTTTTAAACCCTCAGACGTGGCCTCCAGAAAGCGGTCTTCCGTAGGAATTTTGTCGGATCAACACAAGGGACACAGCCAGGCTTTGTCCGAGTTTCAGTATTGAATGCAGGAACCGTCGGCCTTGGAGACACAGTACCGGCAATCTACCCATTCGACGTACCCTTCCCCGCTAGGACGCATAGGGACCGAGTAGACATGTGAGATTGCCTCGCAGAAGTAACAAAACTTGTCAGGCAAAGAGAGGAGAGACGAGGACAAGAGGGGAGAAAGGGGGCCTCCAGAATTACCTCCATCGCCCATTGTCATGTGTCACTTCTTAGCACGTGGAAGGATAGCCACTTGTCCTTATTGCGGCCCACTGACTGGTTCCGGTTCTCTTCACGGGATAATTTCTTCGCCCTTGGTAACCTTGGCCGATCGGTGCAGTCGTGTTAGCCCATCCGCGTTCCCGTGCCTTTCCGTTTTTCGATGAACGATGTCGAAATCGTACTCCTGCAGCCTCCGAGTCACTGCCCAACGTCCAATCACGCCCGTGTAATTAGTGAGTCTCTTGAGAGCCAACAGGGGTTCGTGATCCGTAACGAGGAGGAACTTCAGCCCGTACAGATACGGATGGAAGTGTTGAATCCCCCACACCACTGCGTAGCATTCTCCTTGAGGTGTCGAATCGTTTCTCCTTTCGTCTGGTACTGTCCTGGACGCGCGGCCGTCTTACCCCTTTTGCGCCAGAATAGCAGAGATTGCCTCCGGCTGCCATTCTGAGATGAGTACGAATTGCTTCCCGGGGTCAGGTCGGATCAAAATAGGGGTCGTTATCAAATTGCTTCCTTCAATGTGGCAAAGGCCTGCTCGCACTCAGCGTCCCACCTCAATGGCTGGTCCTTTCGCAAGAGGTTCGTCAGGGGCCGTGCGATTGCCGCGAAACCCTTGATAAATCGACGATAGTACGAGGCCAGTCCCAAGAAAGCTCGAACTTGCGCCAGCGACGTGGGTGTCGGAGCGTCTCGAACTGCCGCGACTTTTCTCGAATCCCGTCGCAAGCCTCCTCGCGTCACCACGTACCCTAGGAACGAGATTTCCGACAGGAAAAACTCGCTCTTTTCCAGGGCAATTTTGAAGCCCGCATCTCGCAGCGCTCCAAATGTCCATTCGATATATTGTGCATGCCTGTTAAACGATTCCGAATACACTAGGATGTCGTTCATGTACACGATAACGCAAAAGTTGACCATTCCCTGTGTCAGTTGAGTCTTGTTAACGGAATTATGGAAGGTCATGTGCATCGCTCTTTGAAATGTAGCCAGAGCATTACAAATGCCCATAGGACATTGAACCCATTGCCACGTTCCTTTGAACAGTACGAATGTCGTTTTCGGTCGGTCCTCTTCCTTCACCAATATGTGATGGAACCCATTGCGGATGTCGAACTTGCTAAAGTAGTTAGCACACCCAATTGCATCCAGCAAATCATCAATCCGCGGGAGGGGATACACATCTTTGATCGTGATATCATTCAGTTTCCGATAATCGATGCAAATGTGAATGGATCCGGTCTTTCTAGGGAATAAAACCATGGGGAAGGACCATCGTCCAGTAGCGGGATCGATCCAACCATTGGCCTCGAATTCTCTGATCCGCTCCAGGGCGGTTCGTCTTTCGACTAACGAGTACCGGTATGGTTTACAGTGAATCAGCGGGTGGGTGCTGGTCTGGATCCCGTGCTGTATGGCCAGGGATAGTCCTATGTATGTGTCATCTGTACTAATCGCCCTCTTATATTCGGCTAGAATGTTTGCGATGAGTTTGTGTATCTCGTCCGGCACATAGTCCGACACATGCAGTTCGTAGTGGCAGTCTCGTATCGCCACCGGTAGTTGTTTTGTCCTAGCCGCATGGGTCTTTTTTCGTGGGTGAGGATGATATAAAGGAATGGTCGGAATACCAAAAGAAGATCATGGCAACCATCTGAGCTTCCTCTTCCCTGATTGCCACGTGTTCCTCCGGGGTGACACCATCTTCGATATCCTGGAGGTCCACGACCTTTTCCTCGACTTTTCGTCCAATATCGAACGGGGCGAGGTCGTACAGCCCAGGGGGTTCCGGAGTCCAGTTTTCGGTGCCTCCCTGTAGCGGTCGGATTTCTTTTCCTCTGGTGAGCAACGAGCCGGGAGAAATTCTTGAGATATCGCAGAAGGACCACTTATCCTGATATCTGGATAACAATGGGGTGGTTGCTACGTATATGGTTCAAGGGGGTTCCCAAGAATCCATCAACCGGGATATCTGAACCAGCGGTTCTCCCATGATCAGTGCTCTGGTTCGCTGCGCGTCCCTTATAAAAACGAAGGTTTTCATCGCTTTCTGTCGAAGTGGATAGCAGACTCTTTGTCGTGTTAGCTCGAGAATTTGAGGGTCTGTATCTTCCTCGCTCTCGGAGGTGGATGATGATAGTGTGGGTTCGACGTCGGATTCGTCCGTGGATTCTTCCCACCTTATCATTCGCAGGACTTCACCGGGTTTCTGTCGTAGTCGCTCAGGCATCGAAGTCGTCCGAAGGGTGAGGCGCATCGGAATGGTGTGTGGCCTTCCTCCAGTGTTGTGGAGGATGACTGCCTTTCGTTCGAAATCCAGCGTGGCCCGCAAGGCTGTGAGGGCTAGTAATCCGACGAGGACATCGTACGTGGTCATGTTTAGGACCACTACGTCGCCCAAGGCGTGGACCTTACCTATTTGGAAGGCGACGTTCGTCATCCTCCCTGCGACTCGGATCTTACCTTCGTCAGCGGAAACGAAGTGATCGCCCTCCGCGAGAGGAATCACGTCTTTCCACCAGCCGGCCCACTCGACCACCCGTAGGGAGATGGCCAGGACCGCGGCTCCAGAATCAAGGACCGCACTGTAGGGGTTTCCCAAACTTCCACGTCGCACTCCACGGATCTCCACAGTAGGGCTTTGATCCGTAGGAAGTGATCGTCTTTTCGAATTAGGCCCATCCGGGCGGGTTCGGAGGTGCTTGGCTCCTCCGGCTTAGGGTCTCTAGCGAGGGATTTTCCTTTTGCGGCTGCCAATTTGGCGAAGGTGAATCGCTTCCGGTTTGCCTTCTAGTGCTGTAGCGTCCGGTCATTACCTGTTCGGAAATGGTCAGCAGGTGTCCGATGGGCAAGGAGATGCGGTGATCCAAGGCACGAACTATATCTAGCACATCGATTTCTCCCGTAACGAATGCGGGTCCCCCAGATTCCATTTCCCTCGGGGAGGGCCTCCATTCTGAGACTTCGTTGTTGTCGGGGGCAGGTTGGATGGCCCCTATCATGCCAAGGCCTGGCAATCCCAACGATATGTATTGATTGAGCGGGATGAGCTCCACCGCTTTTTCCATGACCCCCGACGGGCTTGCACCATTATCGTTTTCTTCTACCATTGTGGTCACCCGCCAGGTCCGTTAGAAATTGGTGTTGCAGCTGCTGGTGCGGTTCTTGTTTGCGTGAGTCGGTGGGGACAGTCCCGGGCTATGTGCCCGGGCTGATGACACCTGTAACAAACACTTACGTTAGTTGCCGCCTCGCCCACTGCTGGAGCGGGGGCTGCGCCTTGCATCATTGGCGCTGCTCTGACTGCAATGGGGCGCATCGATCTCATCAATTATTGGATCTGAGCATTGTGCTCACGTTGTTCCTTCTTACTTTCTTGCATTAGGCTAACCAGTATTCGAGTTAGTTCTAGTATCGCATTTGATTCACTAGGCCTTGAAGGGGCTTCCGGGGGAGGCAGAGGTGTGGTCATAATCGGTAATCCTGAAGTCGTGTCAGGTATGGATCTCTTGGATGCGACCTGCTCTAGGTAAGTAACAGGACCGGAGACAAAACCTATATTCTCAAATTTGTTCTGGAGTGCGGCCAGCTCGGCTTTCGCTCTGGCCAGTTCCCAGGAATCTCCATCTTTTGCGTGATCTTCATTTTCTAGAAAGCTAGCGGCAAATTTCTGTTTTATTTTTTCTACCCCATCCATAATTTGTTGCATCGTATGATTGATGGGGGAAAATTGCTTCCGTAATTTCGCCCTCATTGCCCGACTACGAAGCCCATCGATAAATAGATCTCTCCCAACCTTTTTGTCCCTCTCGGATTTGACAAACATTCTATAGAACCTACTGCGATATTTTGTGATAGATTCAAGGGGCTTCTGAACTCGGTCTTTAATCATAAAGAAGACTTGTTCAGGGTGGATATAGTCGAACCTGTTCAAGAAGTCTCTTTCAAAGGTCGGGAGATATATCCAGGCATAAGTGCTAAGCCAGTGATGCGCATTCCCTCCCAGTCTGGCGGGGATGTTGATCTGAGCTTCGTCGTTGTCATATTGTTGTGCACGTAAGGTAGTTAACCATGCACCAGCCAGATGGTGTGCAGGGTCGAAGAGATACAAATCAGGTGGAGTCGTGGGTGCGCGAGCTCGGATAGGTGGTGCGGGAACAGGGGCCCCGGCTAGCTGTACATTGACATTTTGCGCCTGACTGGCGTTCATATTGGCGGCCGGTCGTCCGGCCGATCGATTTCTAAGTACTATACGATCGCGTCGCGGGGCGTTCCGCTGTCTAGCCTGCCCTCTGTTCGCCATATCGTACTGTGCGACTTATCTACCCACTTCTCTTATGAGCTCGCCACATGTCGACTCCGATACCAACCTCAAGCCCAACGCGACTTCCTGGTCAGAGTGGGATGGGGGGGGGGGGCGGAAGTGTGAAAAAGGGGGTGTGCCAAGGATTTTAGGAAAGTGGGGATGGAGTCCCAGGTCGGAAATGAGATCTCATGTGGCGAGTTTTAGGGACAATGGTGCAAAATGATGCGCACGGGTCGTATCTGGTGTTTCAGCCTTCAGGGAGGGGGTTGGGGCCTCTGCCAGTGATGCCACCACGGTCGGTCCCTTGTCTGGCGAATCAATGGGACACCGTGGCAGTCGTGCCGCAGTCGGCGCCGCTCCTAACAAGCTTCGGAATCCGACGGGGAAGGCCCCAAGCAGAGGCTGCTCAATCGCTGTTCAACTTCGGTTCAAGTTCGGCGGATAAATCCCAAAGCTTGGCGTGTTTGGTACTGCTGGCAATCCTTGCACGGTGGGATGGGCCAATAGTGAGCTATGGAATTCCATGGTACCACTGTGAGTTGATGATATAGAAGGAGGAGGTGAAAGGGACGGAAACTGGTAGTAATAACGGCGAAGCCCGGGGATATGCAGTATAGAGTATTGTCCATGTCTGGGTAGTCTGGGCCCCTAAGGTCGCGGGTTATAGCCCAATGGAAATCCCCCGCGCATAGTCGGTTGTTCTTTGTCCGACAGGGGAGGTTCGGGTTTCTCAAGTTTTCCCGTCGTCTGAGTTGTTCACCTTCCCAGTACTCGCGACACTCCGGATCCCTCAAGCTTTCACGATCGGTGATCCAAAAGGGACTTTCTTGGGCCATATCCAGCTAATGAATTCGATTTCCCGCATCCTTTTGATAAATTCGAGATTGGCTCATGCAGACGCGCACGTACGCCGCGACTCGGTTTTTCGAGATCGCGGTCGTATGTGAGCAACGGAGCGTGCACACTAGCGGCAGTGAATCAGGCTCGGGTTTCCTGTATCGCGATAGCGACTGTATCCTACATGCAACTATCCTACTCATGCTATGTAGGATGAGATCCAGATGTTTCATTCATCTCCATACCATTCACGTGACAAAAGGAGAGAAAAAGGGGAAAGGACAATCAACATCTCACAGCGTCTTGGTGGCCTTATGACGATCAAGGACGAATAATAAAAACCCAAACATCCGTAGCGGGTGCTTTCGATCAGATGTAGATGGATAAGAGAAGTTAGACAAGCATTGCAAAACAAGATCGGGAATCTGAAAAGATCACTAATAAAGAAGAGTTCACACCCATTCATGCATACATACGAGGCAAGAGCGACAAAGAAAATTTGAGACGATTTACAAGGAAAGGTAAAAAAAGGCCGCGACAAAAATCAGCCATAGCAGAAGCCAAAATTATATAGATGAGCAAAAGAAAGAACCTCATCCCGTACCCACAACTGCTCTCTCTCTCTCTCTCTCTCTCTCTCTCTCTCTCTCTCTCTCTCTCTCTCTCTCTCTCTCTCTCTCTCTCT